GTATCTTCCAAGCCTAAACTCAGGTCCTTCAGCACCACCTGAGAAGGAACTGGGCTACTTTGAAGTGCAACTCTACACGAGCTGCCAGTTGCACTTCTGTAGGAACGCTCTCAGTTCTTTTCTTTCCTCCCATCTTTATAGGAAAAGTCACTGAAGGAATAAATCGAAAAGCTTTATAGTCAGAAGAACTGTAATAGAGAGAGGGAAAAGTAGTTATCTTTTAAGTGCCAATTTTGCTGATGGATTATCTGTTAATTTCTCATCACTTCCATTAAACTTGTCATATAAAAGTTATACAAAAGCAGATTATTCTGTATTTGTGTCCTTTAACAAAAAGGAGCAATTGCCGTCAAAAAACTTAGCTCACATTGAGAAGGTAAAAGATTGTGAGCCTTTAGAGATACAAAATCAGGAAACAAATTTGGAAAGAATAAAATGGGAGTTTTCTCAGTCATGCTTACTCTATATGGTTTAAAAATACACGTGAAAGGTTTGTTTAACATTTCATTATTTTCTTCTCCATTCAGAAACTTATCCCACAGTATAAGGCTTTCTCCATAGTTTCTAAAATTATCAAAAAATGAAACTCATACTAAGGAAGTTCCACTTGTAGGAACTGCAGTGCAGTTTTCAAGTTACTTTGTTCCTCTCAAAATGTTCTGCTCTCTGCAGTGAGGGACTGCTGAGGAGGACTGACCATTCTCTCTGGCTGTAACGTTGTCTGGTTATGGAGGTTTATAAGGAATATCTGACATTTATATATACAGACCAATGTGTGTGCTTTCTGGGTGACTGGAGTCCTTGAACACTCTGGGGTACTGAAATACAGACTATTAATTTTTTCAGAAAGTTTGGGTTTTTTTCTGTATCTGAACAGTTTTAGAAATAATGTTGTTCTGTTGTGTTACCTATATGGATATTTTTAAGTTCCTTGAATTATAAAAGAACATGCAGTCAGAGTTCTGGCTAATGATTTCTTACATCTCTTCCAGCATCTCATACTTCTCTGTTCTCTTCCAGGAAAAGTTTTTCCAAATTCCTGCCTCTGAAATCTTAACTAATAATTTTCTTCAGCAAAAGATGCAGATGACCATGAACACACTCTGTCCTCCAGGAAGAAAATTAGGTCAGCTTGCCATTATTTTAAAAGGGTAATGGGAAGGGAAAGGGTCTTTCAATCTGCTATTGCATATGCACAGTCTTAGAGTTCAGCTTATGAAGGGGAAAAACTCAGAACAGAGAAATGCAGGAGCCTGTAAGGAGAGTTCTAGATAGTTTGTTTTGATACATTTCTTTAACAGTAGGACTTCCTTTTGAGAATGAAAAGTAATGGTTCAGTAGATTCTTAGGTAGCATGCAGTGATGTGTGACTACAGCCATGTCTATGCAGGCACTACCATGTTATCTGTATTCATATGAAGTTAACCAGAACAGCCTTGTACTGAATGCCACAGCACATTAGGGAAAAATTGAAAGGGAATTCAGTATATAGCATGTGTTTTGGGTGAGGTTCTACTTTTGAATGCACATGCTGATTTAGAGGATCCCTTACTACAGGAAATATCCATGAAAATTGAGCAAAAACTTAATCCAAATCCAGTCACATAGGTTTTTGTGCAGTATTTTTCTTGTGGCAAAAAGTAGCTCTTCCTAAACTACACACATCCAAGGTAGCTATATGTTTCTACCAGAGTTCCAGAAGTTGTTTCATTGAGATACATGGAGATGAGTTTTTATTATTGGAAAGTCTTTATATGTGCTATACTGTGGTACAGATACTGGTTTTGGGGGAAGCTGGGGTAGGGAGAGTGAGGCTTGGAAGATGGTCACTGAACACCATTTCAGGTGGTGCGGGAAATTTTAAGATACAAATAGGAATTTTAGAATTAGTAATTCATGTTTCTTCCTGTTAACTGTTTTATACTTTTAGATATCCTAGTTAAGATCCTACTCAAGTTATACTTCTCTGCTATAAAAGTTAGAAATTAATATTAAACAATAATTTGGGTTTTGTTTGTAGATGACTTGCCATGGTTGGAATGCTTCATCAAGTCCTATAATGTCAGAGATGAGATGAAACATCAAGTTTGTTACCAAATTTTTGACACTACAATTGCTGAAGATGTTGTATAGTGATGTGTTGCTAATAGGAAGTAATCCAGTAAAAATCCAATTTTGAGAGTTTTTGGGATAAAAGACTATTAAAAAAAAAAGAAAGGGCAACTGAAAAACTTTGTTCCTTTCTTAGGAATTCAGCCTGAATGTATGAAGTATTAGTTTGTATATTGATGTGAATATGAATTAAGCTTTTATGTATTTACTATGTATTTACTACTTTCCTGGCACATAGCCTTGTGATCTGAGTGGAAATAGAGGTGCTAAGCTCACTGGAGGCTGCTTGCCTCAGACAGATGGAACCAATCTAGTTATCCATCTGTCCTTCAAAAAGGCAATGATGGGGTTACTCTAAACTGGTGAGTTTTACTTAGAAATATAGTCAGAATGATGCTGCTTTGTTCATTTCTATTAAAATAAACTATGTTAGCAGAGGTGGGGAAAAGGAGCTTTTAGGTAAACATTATCTCAGACTCCATTGTGCAAGTGTCTGTTCCTGTTCTCAAAAAGCCAGTTTGACAGAGAGGTTGTCTGATTTTAAAGATGTCTTCGATTTTGCACTGATACATCCATTTAGACAGAACTTTTCCTGTTAATCATACTGAGGTAACTGCTGTGTGTACCAGTTACTGTAGATTTTGATGGAGTTCAGAATGTGACCATGTAATGATTATCATTAAAGTCTAAGCCATGAAAGTAGGGTAGTGTAAAATGGTAAGATGAATATTGGCTTTCAATAGATCATAATGATTTTTAAGGTGGCCCTACTGGATAGTAACCTTGTTAGCATGCTTATTAACTGCATCTGTGTTTTCAAAGGCTGTCACCTATCTGGCTTAAATTTTAGGTTAGACTGCCCAGATCTGCCTTTTCTGCCTTATATAATCAGATTGTATGACTAAATGTAGAGATACAGAACTGATCTAGTGATATCATGGCTTGAAAGTACTGCTGGACTAGAAAAATTATGCAGTCATTTTACTTTGCATTCAGAAGTCCATAGGACAAATTCAGGACATGTTTCTCCAAGGATAAGTAATGTAGAAATCCCTGTCAAATCAAATGCTTTTCATCAGAGCAAATTTACTTAAATATTTACAACAGCTATTTTTTTAAGGAATTAAGAAGCAAGATGGAATATTTGTAAGTAGGTTATTATTTTGTCTAGGTGGCTTTTTATTTTCCCGTTTTTCAGGGCTGTTTAGTAGATTATGCAATTTGTCATTTAAAATTTCATCTAAATCTCTTCTGTTAATTTTCTGGTACTCTAAAAAATTATACTGGGTTTATATGTCATAAACCAGGAAATTACATTCTTTATTGATTGGTGTATGAGGAGAACCAGTATTAAAAGTGGTTTGTGGATATTTCCTTTAAAAGTACGAAGACAACCCAACTTTGGAATTGAACAAACAGTTTACCAAAGAGCAGTATTGGCTTATGAAAGCTTGCCTGAATCTGTGAATAAATGCATAAACAAAAAATAGTTATAACAAGTTATTAAATCAATATTACAAAACTTTAGACACTGTATCCAAACTATTTCAGAAGTTAAGGGTTAAATTTAAAGGCAATCTTTTTGCTTTTCTTGTATATAGTGTATGAAAACATTGGAAGGAAATGTTTTTAGTTCTATATTTTTGTTAACAACTGTAACAGATATTGATATTGTACATTTTTTCTAAATAAGTCTTTGTACAGTAATAAATAAGAATGTTTTGAACTTGGTGTAAACTAAATGATTTTTCACCACATCTGCATGACATCCCTGCCAGAAAACTCTGCATATGCATCACTTGATTTTTTTTTACTGTTGAATATTGTATTAAAATGTTTAATAAAGATTTTTCTAATATTGTTTTTCTTGTATTTGATGTTTAGTTCTGTGTTCATAAGACTGTAAAAACTGTCGTCAGTAGCCTTCATTCAACAAAATGCTCCAAATGAATATGTGTATTTTGTTGAATTGAAAAGGTTTCATTCTCTTGCTAAATATAATTCATATAAATAATTTTAATTGGTAATTTAAAATTATGTATTTGACAATACTAAAGATCACTGTATAGAAAGGAATTAGTGCACAGACAGTTGAAAATGTATGTCTTATTGGTAGCCTTTATATGGAGCAATGACAGTCACTGAGATGGGACTTTTAATTACTGTCAATGCTGAGGCCTGGGAATAGGTTACTGATGGATGGAAGTCTTGAGATTGTCCTCAACTTAAAGCACTGACAGACTTCAGTTTCTGAAAGCTGAGCATCTCGGGCAGCATTGACCTATAGCTGTTACCAGCAATCTCCTTAGTAGAAACAAGTCTCATTTCCCTTAGTTTCTTAACCAGGTATGTGATTTAAATTTGTAAAACATTAATAAAAGGTCAAATATCTATTTTAACAGTTTTTAAAAATTACTGAAATAGATCATATGTATTTAAAGACACTTAAAAGTTGAACCAATAGTAGATCAGGTTAACACTGGTACACTTGGATCCAGTGAAAACTCTAGGCATGTCTACCTGATGTCTCAGGTTCTTCCTCCATTCAGTCAGTTGAATTTAAGTCCTCGGATGCCTCACACTCTTGAGACTTCAGTTGGAAAGACAGAATGTAAATAAATAACATAAATTGCAGAAATAAGGGCACATTCCTGGTAGGTGACCTGCTGTTCAGTGGTGATTGAACTTTCTCATCAGCTTTTGCTGTTGTGGGATCCAGAGATTTACAGACAAGACTTTGAAATGCTTTGCTTAATACTAATCCTTTGGCTA